GTCAGCTCAGCAAGACTGCTGCTCCCTGGCTTGTGCCCCACCTCCCTGTACTGTGGTCTGGAAAGTACCTCCAGGCAAATATCCAGGGCGAATATGCAGCTCCCTTCAGTTCCCCTGCTTTCAAAAATTGCATCCCTGTGCTATAGTCCAAAGCCTGGAAACATTTTCCTCATCTATTTCTTGCAATGTTAAAGTCATTTGCACTGGGACGGTAAGCCTGACAGTCACTCTACCATCATAACTGAAAGCATAAGTGTCATCAGTATGTTTTCTTCTTAACTGTTGTAATTGACATACAACAAAATGCACTGATGTTCAATGTTCAGTTCAGTGAGTTTTGATGATCATATACACCCTTGTAACAACCGCCCACTGTATTGCTTTCTTTTACAATGCACTAGTGCTGCCTGTTCTAGAACTTTGTTAAATGGAATCATGCAGTTTAAACTCCTTTACATCTGGCTTTTTGCTTAGCATAATATTTTTGAAATGTGTGCATGTTGTTGCATATATCAACAGTTCATCCTTTCTTAATGGGGAATAATATTCTATTGCGTAAATGTCCCACAGTTCAATGTTTCTGTTTATTGCTTGGGTAATTGCCAGTTTGGAACTATTATGAATAAAGCTACTATGAATATACTTGCATAAGTCCTTTTGTGGATGTATATCTTTTGTCCTGAGTAAATAAGTCATAAGGCTGATGTATGTTTTAGCTTTATAAGAAACTGCCAAGGAGTTCTGAAGAACTGTTATACCAGTTTACACTTAAATCAATAATATATTGAAGTTCCAGTTGCTCCACATCCTCACCAACATTTAGTGTTATTGGTCTTTTTGAGACAATAGATGGTTGGATATTTTGCATTTTGCATTGGGTCACCTGAATTTCTCTGATGATTAATGCTGTCAAGCACCTTTTCCTATGCTTACTGGACACTTGTATATCTTCTTTTGTGAAGTGTCCTTGTCTTTTGCCTATTTAAAAAATTGAGTTATGCTGGGCACAGTGGCACATGACTGTAGTCCCAGCTACTCAGGAGGCAGAGGTAGGAGGATCACTTGAGCCCAGGAGTTCTGGGCCGTAGTGCGCAATGCCAATCGGGTGTCCGAACTAAGTTTGGCATAAATATGGTGACCTCCCAGGAGCGGGGGACCACCAGGTTGCCTAAGGAGGGGTAAACTGGCTCAGGTCAGAAACGGAGCAGATCAAAACTCCTGTGCTGATCAGTAGTGGGATCGCACCTGTGAATAGCCACTGCACTCCAGCCTGGGCAACATAGCGAGACCCCATCTCTTAAAAAAATGAGTTATTAGTCTTCTTATGTTCATTTGTAAAAGTTTATTATGTATTCTCGGAATGAGTCCGTTGACAGACACATGTTCTGGAGATATGTATTTCCAGTCTATGACTTTTGAGTTTCTTAATGACTTTATTATAAGGTTTGCCTCTATGCTTATATTTGTCGTTGATTTTCTTTTTTTTTTTTTTTTTGAGATGAAGTCTCACTCTGTTGCTCAGGCTGCAGTGCAGTGGTGCGATCTCAGCTGACTACAACCTCCAACCTCCTGGGCTCAAGTGATTCTCATGCCCCACTCTCCCGAGTAGCTTGGATTATAGGCATGCACCACCACACCAAGCTATTTCTTTTTGTATTTTGTATTTTTAATAAAGACAGGGTTCCGCCATGTTGACCAGGCTTGTCTCAAACTCCTGACCTCAAGTGATCCACCCACTTTGGCCTCCCAAAGTGCTGGGATTACAGGTGTGAGCCACTGCACCCAACCTGTCATTGATTTCTACTCTTATTTTTATTACGTTCTTTCTTCTCTTTACTTTGAATCTAATTTGTATGGCATTTTTAGATTCTGACTTTTAGATATAGAAGCTTATGTCATCGCTTTTACAGCTATTTTCTTTTCTTTTTTTTTTTTTTTTTGAGACGGAGTTTCGCTCTTGTTACCCAGGCTGAAGTGCAATGGCGCAATCTCGGCTCACCGCAACCTCCGCCTCCTGGGTTCAGGCAATTCTCCCGCCTCAGCCTCCTGAGTAGCTGGGATTACAGGCACGCGCCACCATGCCCAACTAATTTTTGTAATTTTAGTAGAGACGGGGTTTCATCATGTTGACCAGGATGGTCTTGATCTGTTGACCTCGTGATCCACCCGCCTCGGCCTCCCAAAGTGCTGGGATTACAGGCTTGAGCCACTGCGCCCGGCCCTCTTCTTTTCTAATAAAGGAATTGAGAGCAATAAATTTCCCTCTAAGCACAGCTTTAACTGCTTCCAGCAAATTTTGATATACTGTTTTTTTAATCATTCACTTCAAAATATCTCAAAATGTGATCACCTTGCAGTGTATTCTCTAACCTATGAGCTCATTAGAAATGTATTGTTTATTTCCAACTACTTGAGGTTTTCTAAATATCTTTTTCTGAATTTTAACTTAATACCATTGTGGTAAGAGTCTGTGTTCCAGCGTCTGATATATCTTGGTAAGCATAGGGTATGCTCTTGCAAAGAATGTGTAGTCTACAACTATACAGTGTTATAATATTCATCAGGTCAAATTGGTTGATGGTGTTTTCCAAATCTTTTATATCATCACTTGTCATATTTACTGGAAAAGGATGCTAAAATCTTCCAATTGTAATCATGGCTTAATTATTTTTCTCTCTGATTTTTTTTGCTTCAGGTATTTAAAAGCTCTGTTACTAGGTAATGTCTACTTCAGATCATTCTGTCTTCTTGATGAATTAATCCTTATATCATTATAAAACATCCAGCTTTCGTATGTTTTTCCATTCTTTTACTCTAAATCTGTCTCTCTCTTTTTTTTTTGAGATGGAGTCTCAGGCTCTGTGGTACAGGCTGGAGTACAATGGCGTGATCTCAGTTCACTGCAGCCTCTGCCTCCTGGGTTGAAGCGATTCTTCTGCCTCAGCCTCCCGAGTAGCTGGGATTACAGGCACCCGCCACCTCATCTGGCTCATTTTTGTGTTTTTAGTAAAGACAGGGTTTCACTGTGTTAGGCAGGGTGGTCTTAAACTCCTGACCTCAGGTGATCCACCCACCTTGGCCTCCCAAAGTGCTGGAGTTACAGGCATGAGCCACAGCGCCTGGCCTAAATCTGTCTGTGTTAGGAGTATCCCTCTTGTAAACAGCATATAGTTGAATCTTGCTTTTCAATCCAGTCTGAAAAGTTGACCTCTTAATCAAAGGATTCTTACTATCCATCTATCCACACTGCTGTGTGAACATCTGCTCCATGGCACAGTTCTCCTGGGTGTGTGGTCTCCATATTTTGCCTACCCATTCTGTCTGACATGGACCCCTGATTGGCCTCCAACTCTCCCACCAAAAATGCTGTTGCTGTGAGCATCCTTGTGCTGGCCCCTCAGCTGGGGAAGAGTCTGTGTGGGATGCTGGTTTATAGGGTTTGACTATACTTAATTTGACTAAGGATTCCAGATTCCACAGAATGTCTATATGGTGATGGGAATGATCCAGAAGAGAGGAAAAGACGATGAGGAAAGAGTGAGGGACTTGCTGGCACCACTTGCCTGGGTAGGCGAGAGGGGTTGGGACCCACTGCACAAGCAGCAGGTTTGCTTTCACTGGGACAGTTCAGCCACGGAGCTTGTGGAGGTGCAGACATGTGGGCCAGGTGCTGGTGGGTGGGTAGGTGTGGGGTGAGGGCTTGGGGAAGTTTTCCTCCATAGCTTCTATCTTCTCAGGGAATTGGAAAGCAACCTGAGGATAAGGATGGGGGAGGAGATACTGGAAACTTAAAGGGAAGGAAGGTATGAAATAGTTATCTTGGAGATTGGGAGCATGTGTGGACCAAGGAAACAGCACAATTGCTGAGCGGCTTTCAGGGCACTCGTGGTTATTGAGAGTGGGCAGTGCAGGCTGTCTTTCCCACTACGCTCTCAGGAGAGGCCTGGGTATGGACCAAGCTCAGCACAGGACTGGTGCCCACCACCATGCCAGACACCATGGGCACAGGACGAGCTGTGCAGGACAGCTGCTCCTTAAAAGCTCGCTGTGCAGTGGGAGAGGCAGCAGCCAACAGCAGCCATGGATCACCACCATCCATTCTGTGTGGCCCAGCAGCCATGTGGGTGATCATGGATTACCACCATCCATTCTGTGTGGTCCAGGGGAGATGGGGTGATGGTGCAGTGGGGAGCGTGTGTCCTGAGTCTGTGGGAAGGTGGCACTCTCTAGTTATGCGAGGATGCTGCTCAGCAAGGTGTGGGCACTCAGTACTGTTTCAGCCCTAGCTTTATTTTTTATTGTAAAAGTGATGCATGTCACACCAAAAGAAATGAGAAAAATGTTTTTTTAAATCATAAATAAAAAAGTAAATTCACCGGAAATCGCATCTCCTCCACAAAGGTAGCCATGGATAGTAAACATTTTTGTGTATTTAAAGAAAAGGTCTGATACCTGCTCCCACAGCCCTGGAGGTCTAGTCTCCTACCCAGATGTGAATGACACCCCTCTGCCAAATGTAGCTGCACAGCATCACCTTAGGCTTTGAGGGCCAAGGGAGGCGCCCTCTCCATTCCTGGGGGAAGTCAAGGAGGACCATATGGAGCAGTGGACTAGGAATGGATCTTGACGTTCAAGGGTACCTCATGCCTTTCTTGCTGTCTTTCCCCCTCCTGTATCCCCTTGTTCATGCCTCTCTAGGACAAGAGCAGCTCCCACCTTGTCCCACCGTGCAGCTAGCTGACAGGTGGGCACACTGCCGGGGCTGTGACTGGGAGGCCCACCCTGTTGCGGGCAGGAAAGCAGAGGCACAGCTCTTGCCTGGGCCACTCAGTCACAGCCTCTCGGTTTGTGCAGTGCACAGCCTGTGTGGCTGTACATGGTAGTCATGCAAGGAGAGTTCATCCACCCACTATTTCATGCCCTGGCATCTGCCCATACTGCAGCAAGATGGAGGAGCAGGGCTACAGGCCTTACCCTCTCTGGTCTGTGTCCCACTCCAGATAGCAGTGACAGTGAGCTGGAGCTGTCCACGGTGCGCCACCAGCCAGAGGGGCTGGACCAACTGCAGGCCCAGACCAAGTTCACCAAGAAGGAGCTGCAGTCCCTCTACAGGGGCTTCAAGAATGTGAGTGTTCCCCATTCTCCTGGGAAAAGCCTTGAATACCCTGGCCCAGGGAGACCAGGAAACTTCTCCACACCACACTAAATATCCCAGGGGCCTCTAAGGGGCTTATGTGTTGTGGGAACACTGTATAGCGGGGGCACACCCCAGAATGGGCATTGCTGAGGCTGCCACATTCCTCCCTCTGTGTCTCTGCTGCCAGTACAGAGGAGGAAGGTATGGGGGAGCAGCCACTCCCTTCCTATTCACCCCTGCTCCCTCTCACCCCACCCCTGCCTGGGCTTTCTGAAATCCAGGCCAGGGGACCCCAGCAGTGCCACAGGCAGTGGGCAGCCCCCAAGGGAGTGGGAAAGTCCAGTCCCTTGGAGCCGGGCTTGGAGCTGGGGGTGGCCGAGTGCTGAGAGGGTGCCTTCCTGCTGCAGGAGTGTCCCACGGGCCTGGTGGATGAAGACACCTTCAAACTCATTTACTCACAGTTCTTCCCTCAGGGAGGTGAGTCCAAGGCCGGGGAACCCTGCTATGTCCCAGTGTGGAGGGAGGGGACCCTCCTGCTGCCCTTGCATCCTAGAAGCTTGGTGCTGCCCCTGTCCTGTGGGAAACAGGGACTGCCAGCCAGGACACAGCACCCCCAGCTGGGGTTGCCTGAGGTGTGGGATTAACCACCAGGCAGCCCCGACACACCCCAGCCTCTTCCTTGCCCTCCCCAGATGCCAGCACCTATGCACACTTCCTCTTCAACGCCTTCGACGCCGACGGGAACGGGGCCATCCACTTTGAGGTAGGTCTTCGAGGATTCCTCCCACGTGTCCTGCTCCGGTGGCTGCAGGGGTGAATCCCTGCCCTGGCATCACTCTCAGGGCTGTCGAGAGAGCCATGGCCCTGGTTGGAAAGGATCTGGTGTGTCACCCTGGGACCGACTGGATGTGGCTGGCCCTGGGCCAGTGAGGTCAGGGGTGTTTGACTTTGCTGGGCCGGCACCGCATTCTCCGCCTTTTCTTCCAATCAAGAGTTTTTATCCAGCTCTGCCCGACCAAGGGAGGCCCCGAGGCACACAGGGGTGGTAGTGACCAATCAGGAATTTGCATTTTCAAAGGGTTCAGGACTCAGAGGTCTAGTTTGCTTATAGTGGGATGTGAGACCTCCAGCTTCAGAATTTACTCCCTGTTACCCAGAAAATAGGCCAGAAATATCTAGAAAACATCCCAGCCTGAGCAGGCTCCAGGGCTCATCCCAGCTGGGCACTGAGAGTAAAGCCTGGTGTTACCCTCAGTGGAAGGAGAAGCCTGTCCCCCACCCAGACAGCTTCCCTGTGGGGGCCTGGCCTGGGATCCTCCCCAGCCCCGCCACACGGGATCATTAGGAGAGAGGCCCCATCTGTGGAGCACAAGACTCTAAAAATAGCTGTAGGCGAAAAGCTGAAACCACCTTGGGGAGGAAAACCTTGCTGAGAGCCGGCCTGATCGATACACCAACAGCTCAGCTTCCAGGCCAAGGGCAGCTAACAGGAAAGCACAGAGAAGCACATGGGGCCAGAAGGCCCCGGCCACAGGGGGTAATAATAACTCATCGATAAACCTGCAAGGGTTATTTTTATGCCGCAGGCCCGCCGGGCACACTGACACTCCCCGCCTGCCCTGTGACCACAGGACCCCTCCACTCTGAGCCACACTCAGGGCTCTGCACATAGAAGCAGACAGTGTTTTCTGCAGTATCTGAAATACCAACCGTACAGCACACAGAAAACACCCGGTCAGCACAGAGGAGCTAGGGAGGACTCATAGTCCTTTCCCCAGCCTCCCTCCTGGGGTGCCCTTTAAGAGGCACCTGAGACTTCAGGCAGTAAAGCGTCATTAGGAAGCAGTGTAAGGGAGCAGGCAGCCAGGAGTGGTTTTTCTTGTTCTGGAATGAGAAGACTCAGAGGCTTAGCAGCGCCCCTGCGCATAGGCATGGCCGGTGCTCAGGAGGCTCACAGTCGCCCCTCCCCTCCTGTGGCCATCTCCCTCACTCCCCCCAAGGGACAGCCTTGTGGCCCTTTAAGGAGGCAGGTGGCAGCCCTTTGGGCTGGGTCTGTCAGTGGCTGAGCTGCATCCCCTCTGCTGGGCACCTTCTCAGAAGGTCGCTCATCCCTGGCATCTTCCAGACCTTCTGTGGCTTCTCTGCACACGAAGCGAGGTCCTCTGGCTTCAACCTTGAGGAGCTTCTTGATTTCAAAGTGTTCTGCTCTGGAAAGGAAGAGGGCGCAAGCCCGCATTGCCCCATCCTGGGAGCCCCACAGCTGGGATCAGCCAGGAGTGGAGGCACTGAATCTGGTCTGGGGGACACCCACCGGCCATCCTCACTGCCAGGCTGCAGCCTCCCATATATGCCTATGATGCAAGGCAAGCCGGCGTGACACTGTCTGCAATGGTCCTGTCCCTTTCTATATATTCTTAGAGACAAGATGCATGGATTTGGTAAAAGATAATATACCCTCCCTCTCCTCACCAAAAAGAATATCCAAAAAGACCAAATGGGAAAACATGCAGACCTCAGTAGAGCCAAGTGAGCGATGCCATCCCACATCCCACCTCTGAATGGCTCCTGCTCCCATCCCCGCAGACCTTCTGGGACTTGCCAGAGGCAGGGAGCCCCATTCGAGCAGCACCCCACACAGATTTGCTGAACAGTCTGGCCACCAGGGCCTTGCTCATGCAACTCATCTAGCTTGCCAGAGACATGTAAAGCTTCCAGAACGATTCCATAGATCTTTGGGGCCTCTCCAGTGCCCAGGATCAAGTCAGGCCCAGCTTGGAAGTAGCATCCAGGCGTAGGTACATCTGGAGGTGTGGCCGCTTCTCTTACCTCCCCTGGCAGCAAACTGCTCCATGTGCCATTGGCCGAGCAGCATGAGGGCAGGTCTGCGAGCTTGGCAGCCACATGCGCCTCCCAGCCCCTCGCCGAGCACCTGCTGCAGGCTCTGCCAGGCGGCCCTCCTGTGCACTCTGGTGCACCTTTGCCTGGAAGTGTGCTGTGTCCCTGCTGGAGCCCTTACCCTACCTAGGCCCTGCCATGGGGACAGCTATAGAGCAGAGGCTGTGGATGTGACAGGATCCCTACACTTTGGCATTCAGTGTAGGTTGCACTGTGGGTGGCCAAGGAATTTAGAACCAGCGTGCACTCTGACATGGGCTGGCTGGACTTGGGGTCATCTGTGTGTTACCTCTACAAATGGAGACTAGCCAGTGGCCTCACGGGACATTCCCTCCATCTCCTAATACTGTCTCTACCATACCCAACACACTGAGAGAGGCTGAGAGACACTAGATGGGGACATTCCCAGTTGCTAGCAGCGGGCTCTGCAGCTTCTCCACTGCAGACTGACATACCACCTGACAGGCCATGCCAGCTGAAGACAAGGTGGAGGACAATGGTGCCCGCCCAGGGTCCACGGGAGAACACTGTGCTCAATGCTTTTGCCACCCACTAGGAAGGCCTGTCTGACCCGGGGCTTCAAGGATAACTTAAACCTTCACCAGTGTGTAAACCATGCCCAAGCTTCAGTGGTTATTACTCCCTAAACTTGGCTATAATAGAAGTATAACAATATTTCTCCTCTGTTTTGTAATTTTTAATTTTTTGTTTTATTTTTAGACAGGCTGGAGTACACTGGCACTATCATAGCTCACTGCAGCTTTGGCCTCCTGGACTCAAGTGATCCTCCCACCTCAGCCTCCCGAGTAGCTGGGACTGCCTGGCTATTTTTTTTATTTTAATTGTTATAGATGCAGGGTCTCACTATGTTGGCCAGGGTAGTCTTGAAATCCTGGCCTCAAGCCAAAATGCTGGAATTGCAGATGTGAGCCACAACACCTGGGTTTTTCTCCTTTAAAATATTTTCATTGGCTGGGTGCTTGTAATCCCAGCACTCTGGGAGGCTGAGGCGGGCAGATCACCTGAGGTCAGGAGTTTCAGACTGGCCTGGCCAACATGGTGAAACCCTGTCTCTACTAGAAATACAAAAAAATTAGCCAGGCGTGGTGGCAAGCGCCTGTACCCCCAGCTGCTCAGGAGGCTGAGGCAAGAGAATCACTTGCAGAGGGTGCAGTGAGCTGAGAATGTTACCACTTCACTCCAGCCTGGGTGACAGAGTGGGATTGTGTCTCAAAAAATTTTTTTCATTGTCTTCAGTTTTGTACACACATGACTGGAGTCCAGCAGATTCTCAGGGTGCGGGTGGGAAACCTTTGCTGTAGGCAGGCGCCAGTGCTTGTTTTCATGTCCCCAGGAGGCTCCTTTCACTTTTCAACCCCCTGCTGTGAGAATTTGGGACTCCCTCAGACACACACCTTTCCCATCCCCCAGCCCCCCACCCATCCCCTAGGAGGCTGGGTGGGTGGATCGTTGAGCCCAGGAGTTTGGGACTGCAATGAGCCCAGCTTTCCAACAGACTCTAGGCTTCAGGTTGGATAAGGCCTTGGTTTACTCTGATCTGTGAACTGGAGCCCTCTCTGAGCTTGCTGTCCACTGCGATGATGTCTTCCTTTCCTTTGCCTACAGTTAACATTGGTTCTGATGATTCGTTTGCCTGGCGTTCTGTGACCTCATTATTTATTTAAGCCCAGGCCCTTCTCCAGTCATTTGAACCCTCTGCCGGGCATCTGCCTGAGGAGGTCCCCACAGCCTGCCAGGGCTCCATCCTCGCTGGGGCCTGCTGCCCTCTGGGGCCTCCTGCCATCTCTGCTGGGCTAGGCCTCCTGGTCCTGGGATCCCCGATCTTCCTCTCCCTTGCTTTACTCTCGTGTGTTCAGGGGCTCACCACCCAGCTGCTTCCTATAAAAGAGGTTGTGGGCTGTAACTTTGGAGCCTTTGAGCACCTGGGAGTGTCTTGATTCTGTTCTTACTCTGTTGCAGGGACCCACACTCCCAGGGGAAGCTGCTCTCCTTCAGAGCAGGGGTGGCATTGTTCCCTGGGCCTCCTGTCCCAGGTGCTGTTGCAGAGCAGGTGCCACTGCTGACTCTCACCCATGAATGGGACCCGATTTTGCTTTTTCTGTTTGGCTTTGCTTTTCTTTGTGAAAGTTTATAAGATCCTCTCTTTGTACCCAATTTGCTGAAATTACACCATGATCTGTGCCTGCAGCTAAACTACAGACTGTTTTCATGCATTGTGCCAAGCCCTGGTAGACACTGGAAAATCTCCACTTCCTTTCTAGGAAATCTTTCCTGATTGCTCTGACCCACTTTCCTCCGTTCTCTCCCGTACTTCCCAAACCGCCTGTGTCCCCCATTGGCCCTCCGGAGTGCACCTCTCATTATCCTCTTTTCTCCCCTATATTCCAGCTGTTTGTCTTCTCATTCCACTTCATGGAAGATTCCATTTGCTCTCCCAACCTTTCTTCTAAGTCTGTCATTTTGCTTTCTTGTTTTTAATTTCTAAGAGCTCTTTCTTTTTTCCAGTTACTCCTTTTTTATGACATCCTATTATCTTAGTGATGCAAGATTTATAATCTCTCAACCTAATAGTTTTTGTTCTTCCAAATCACTTTCATCTATTTCTCTCTGCCTCTCTCTCCCTCATGGTACAGACTTCCTCCAATCCCAAAAATCTAACACTTGAGGGACCTCAGGCCTTGGTGCATGGTCCTGTCTCTCACACTTTGACTGACCTCTATCCCATTTTGCTGGGATAGCCCTTTTCTGACCCCTTTCTTTCAGAGTAGCCTGGGAGGACCCCAGGGTGCAGGGAGGGCTTCACCTTTAAACCTTCCAACAGGTGGGGGAAAGACCTGCTTTCTACCAACTGCTGTAACAAAACAGCTGAAGTTGTCACAGGAAACCATTTGAACAGTCATATTTTGTCACATTAATAATAAAGTGTCACATGCCAGAGGTGATGGCCACACACAGCATGTCATGACTCAAGAGTTGAGCACCAGGGTTGGGCAAGATGGCCCTGGAATTACCCCTGTAATCCCAGCACTTTGGAAGGCCAGGAGTTGGAGACCAGCCTGGACAACATAGCGAGATCCCATCTCTATTATGAAATAAATTAGCCAGGCATGGACTACTGCAAGTGGTCCCAGCTACTCAGGAGGCTGAGGTGGGAGGATGGATTGAGCCTGGGAGTTTGGGACTGCAATGAGCTGTAATCATGCCACTGCATTCCAGCCTGGTGACAGTCTGAGGCTCTGTCTCTAAAAAGAAAACCCAAAAAATAAAAAGCTGAGCATCATTCCTCTAGCTTTTTAAGCTGGAAGTTTTCAAGCACCTTTGCCATACAGATGTTTGTCAGACTAAAAGTAGAGCACCTCCTTTATTAAAAGAGCACCCCAGGCCTCTCTGGTGGTAGCACTGCATTAAATGGGTCTAGAACACCATATATATTTAAATAACTTTATTTGACATCAAATAAAAATATCAGCTACCATGCCACTCCTGCCACACTCACCCAGATACATGCACGTGCACTCACACTGGTTCACACATTCACACAGGTGCACAACTATGCATGTGCTAACCTGAATGGATACCATCGGTCTATTAGGGAGGCTCTGCACCTGTGGAGGTGTGAATTTCAGTAGAATCCACACAGCAACTGGAACTAGAACCTGGGCATTGGATTGTCACGGCCTGCCCTCTCTTTCCCCCATAGGACTTTGTGGTTGGCCTCTCCATCCTGCTTCGGGGCACAGTCCACGAGAAGCTCAAGTGGGCCTTTAATCTCTACGACATTAACAAGGATGGCTACATCACCAAAGAGGTAGTGGGGGCTGGGGGCGGGGCTGTCCCCTCCTCCCCTCCTGTTGCTCCACCACCGGCCGCTCTTTCTCCCCATTCCTGCCGCCCAACTGTCTTCTCCCCCTCTCCATCCAGATACTGGCCTTGGGGACAGCAGCCAGCAGGCTGTCCTCCTTTCCCGGGCTCTAGGCCCTGGACATCCAGGTGTGGAGTGTGGGCTCATCTGCCCTGTACCGCACAGCTCATTCCAGCTCAGCAAGTGTTCTCCATCATCCTATCTTATGCAGAAGGCCTGGGAGAGACTCAAGTGGAGAAGCCAGAGGTCCTGGCCTTGGCCCCCACCAAGTGAAGGGGGCAGTTTAGTCCCTGAAGGCAGGAGTGGAGATGGGAGCCCTCCCGTGTGGGCCCTCAGACAGGTTTTGTTTGGTCCAAGCACTTTTTCTGCTGCAATGTCACCTTTTGGAGATATGCACGTAACAATCCATCCCCCACTCTTCTGGGAGATGAGCTTCCCCTAGAGTCAGAAGCTCGTTCTGGGTGCCCTGGAAGCGGGCAGGCTCCTCTCCCCAGCTCATCCAGCCCCTCACACTCACTCATCACTGCCCTGGAGGTGCCCTGCACTCTTGGATGCTGCCCTTTGGGCCCTCGCAGCCACCCCAGCCTTGCAGCAGGCTCACAGTAGCCTCCCCCTCCAGGAGATGCTGGCCATCATGAAGTCCATCTATGACATGATGGGCCGACACACCTACCCCATTCTGCGGGAGGATGCGCCAGCAGAGCACGTGGAGAGGTTCTTCCAGGTGAGCAAGCACCAGCCCCTGCCCAGGGAGGGGAGCCTGGCAGAGGAAGAGGCTCTCACCCTTGGGGCCACCTTAGGCAAGTGGCTTGCCGCTCCAAGCCGCCCCACTCCCCACAAGGAGGTTAAACTTGCCCCTCCAATCTGGCTGGTTGTCAGAACCCCTGAGAAGGGAATCACACCACTGCTCTGCCCTGTGGACCTCATCTGGGGGCCAGGGCTGGGGATCCCAAGGCAGCTGACCCTGGGCTGGAGCTCTGTGCCTCCTGAGAGCTGTGTGGCTCCTCCAGGGAGCCACTCTGGGACAGGAGCGGTTTGGGGCCTTCACCTATATGCATGCGGGCTGCAGAGACTGCAGGCTTTGCCTCCCACTTGCTGGGGCCACGAGACATAGGCCATCCTGTGACTCTGTTGCTCCCTCTGTCCTGGCTGCCTGTCAGGGAGGTGAGGGCTCAGATGAACATGGGGACAAATTCTGGGAAACCCAAGCCCAGGTAGGCTCATGGAAGTGGCCTGGGGGGCAGTGGGGAGATGCTTGGAGCCTCAGCAGTGGGGTGGGAGGTAGCTATGGAGGGTGCATTATGTGGCCTGGATCCAGGTAGGGACAGAGTAGGCACCCACCTACCCATGATTGCTGCTTCCTCAGGCCAGGGACAGGGCTATGTCTGTTGGGGCACAGACTCATCTTGGGCATGGTTTGTCTTGCAGAAAATGGACCGGAACAAGGACGGGGTGGTGACCATTGAAGAATTCCTGGAGACTTGTCAGAAGGTAGGCAGCACAGGAGGCCAGGCCACAGTTCTCTGCAGCTCTGTGTGGAGGTGGGTGGTTGGTACTGTCCACCCCTTCCCCCATTCCAGTCCCACCCCTGCCAGCCCAGGACATGGCAGCTGTCCTTGGCCCCTCACCACCTCCTGGGCAGCCCCAAGCTCCACTCGCCTCTTGTCTGAGTCCATCCTCCTCCTCACACACACCTGCAGCCCACAGCATCCCCCCACTCCCCCGTACCCTTCCTCAGCCCCACCGTGGAGAGCCTCAAGTCAGGGGCAGACATGGGGCCAGCCAGAAGGAGAGAATCACTGCAGGGAGGCACCAGAGTCTCCGCACTGTTGCTGCTGGCCCCTCCAGAGAGCATCTTGGCAGCAAGACACTGGGCCTCCGGTGCCTCCACTGCCCCATTCCAAAGCAGCTCTGGTTAGCCCCTGCCTCTGCTGGGGCCAGCCAGGGTCCCTTCATCAGCTTGTACCAGATGGGCTTGCAGTCAGGAGTGGCATTGAAGACAGGTTATGCCTCACCAGCTGGGGACCAGCTACTTCACCTCCCTGCCCCCAGCTCCCCTCCTTTCAGTGAGACAGACAGACAGACAAGTTGCCAGAGTCAGTCCCTAGCGGGAATCTGCTCAGCGGGGTGGTATTTGGAGCCCACCCAGCACCTGATTGGCCTCCCTTCTTCTCTCCACACAGGATGAGAACATCATGAGCTCCATGCAGCTGTTTGAGAATGTCATCTAGGACATGTCAGGATGGGTGCATGGCCATGGCCACCTCCACCCCCAAGAAACCTCCATCCTGCCAGGAGCAGCCTCTGAGAAACTTTTAAAAAATAGATTTGCAAAAAGTGAACAGATTGCTACACACACACACACACAGCCATTTATCTGGGCTGGCAGAGAGGGACAGAGATCAAGGAGGGGCTAAGTCTGGAGCCCCTCCTGTAGTCGAAGTCCAGGAGCCCCTGCCAGCCCTCCCCAAACCAGTGAGCCGAGGCTGCCTCTTGGTGAGTGGCTGACAGAGCAGGTCTGCAGGTCACCAGCCACTGGATGTCACCAGGAAGGGACTCAAGCACCCCTGCAGGGGAGGGCCCCATCTCCGGTGTGAGCCCACCTCACCCTATTCTCCACTCTGCTTTCTTGCCACACAGTGGGCCAGTTCCAGGCCCCCCGGCCTCCTCCCCACAGCCTCTCCCTGCCCACTACCTATGCTTCTAGAAAGCCCCTCACCTCAAGACCCTGGAGGGGCCAGCTGAGGGGCAGGAGAGATGGGGTGATGGAGGCCGAGCCTGCAGCTTTCTGGAAATGCTTGCCTGGGGCAGGCTACCCACTGTGGGGCAAGCTTGGGTGGTGAGGGGCCACTGGGCCCCTTTCTGTCTCCGTGGCAGGAAGGCGGGGGTTTGAAGCTTGGGGATTGGGTCTTAGTGGAGAATTTGAGGGCACTCTGCCAGCTCCACAGGGTGAGATGAGCCTCTCCTTGCCCCAGTCCTGGTTCAATGGGAATGCGGTGGGTGGGGTTGTACACACCCTCCAGCACAAACTGTTCCCTCCGAGGTCCTCTTAGGTCCCGGGAGGAGGCACGTGGTTCAGGGACTGGCCTCCAGGGAGCCTGGGCAGAGCTCAGGGGCCTGGAAAGGGGCATCTCCCTCCTCTTCCTGCAGCACCCCTCCTATGGCCCAATGGCTTGGCTGAGCCCCACTTCAGAAGCAGTGTCACCGTTCCTCTGCCCAGGCTTGCCCCAGCCTTGCACAAAAAGCACAAGCACCCCTAACAGCTCAGGCAAAGCCCTGCTGGGAGCCAAGCACACTGCTTCTCAGAGTCAGGCCCTCCTGCTGGCTGAGGCTTGGGCCCAGTAGCCCCAATGCAGTGGCCCTAGGGAGGACGCCTCGGGGGGGGGGTCTGCTCTGTGCCTGAGAGCAGTGGGGCCCCAAAGGCCAGCCCTAGCCCAGCCTGGCTGACCAACATTCAAAAGCACAAAGTTTGGGGACTCTGCTTGGCTGTCCCCTCCATCTGGGGATGGAGGATACCAGCCCAAAGCTGGAGCCAATGGTAAGGGCTGCGGAGCCTGCAGTTGGGGGATCAGCAGAAACCGTCCTGCTCACTCCTGCTGGGGCCTCGAGGAGAAGGAACCTGGTCCCAGGCAGCACGGCCCCTCCAGGAACATTCCCATATAATACATTCCATCGGCAGCCACCCCAGCTCCACTCAGGCCTGGCCCCAGGTGCCCCAGGAGGCTAGCACCAGAGTGAGCAGACCCTCAGAGGAAAGGTGGTATGGCGGAGGCTATGGGAGCCCCTCGGCATTCACGCACAGCCTGGCCTCCCCCATGGAGCTGCACTGACGCCAGGCTCCAGGCCCACTGGGAGCCTCTGCCTCCAGGAGGGCATCAGCTTTCCCTGGCTCAGGGATCTCCTCCCTCCCCTCACCCCTTGCCCAGCCCTCCCAGCTTCTAGGGCCAAGGCCTCAGGAGAGTGTCACCACCACGCTCCTGCCCGCCTTGGCCTCGGAGCCAGACTGGCTGCACAGCCCAACCAGGAGGAGCCTCCCACACTGGGACACAGACCAGCCGCATGTCTGCATGGCAGAAGCGTCTCCCTTGGCCCCGGCCTGGGAGGGTGGTTCCTGTTCTCAGCATCCACTAATATTCAGTCCTGTATATTTTAATAAAATAAACTTGACAAAGGAGAAGGATTCCTGTTGGCTTTGTCCCAGCTCTAAACATCAGCTCAGCCCTTCCCACCCCTGTTGCCATTAGCTGTGGATCCTGCCCGGTGCTGTGCTGGTAATGACAGCTGGTCCTGGGAGCGCAGAATGCCCCTCGAATTCTCAAGCTCACAGTGTGACCTCACTGAGGCCAATGAGGAGAGATGCGTGTGGTGGCCCTTTGGGACCCTCACGAGAAGGGCCAGCCCTGGAGCCTCCACGCAGACCCAACAGGGCGGGAGGACTTCTTGAGGCACCATGTGTACTTCACCCCCAGATAATTTTTCTTTCCCAGTTCCAGGAAGTCATTCTGGGTGTCCCCTTGGCTGGAGAGGGAGGGTCACAGGGCAGAAAAAAGCAGGATTTGCCTGAACACATCTCCTGGTGTTTACTTTCAAAAGGATAAGCCCTGTGAGGACAATGCCGGGAAGGAGACAAGAATGAGAGCCTGGGGGGAGGGAGTTCCCCAACTCGCCAATTCAAGCTTAAGAAATCCAAACATGTTGTGAGCAAACAGGATAAAACGGAACTCACCCAAACATGTTACAGTGAACTGCAGAACACCAAAGACAAAGAGGTCACAAAGACAGAGATAGACTGGTGGCCAGCTCTCGATGGCATGTCCATTTTGTTGAGAGAAAAGTAACTGTCAACCTGGAATTTTATACCAGGCAAAATATTTTCAGCACTGTGTGGTAGCTCACGACTATAATCCCAGCACTTTGGGAGGCCAAGGCAGGTGGATCACCTGAGGACAGGAGTTCAAGACCAGCTTGGCCAACATGGTGAAACCCCATCTCTACTAAAAAAAATTAGCTGGGCATGGTGGTGGGTGCCTGTAATCCCAGCTACTCAGGAGGCTGAGGCAGAAGAATCGCTTGAACCTGGGAGGCAGAGGTTGCAGTGAGCCGAGATGGTGCCATTGCGTTTCAGCCTGGGTGGAATGGACATTGTCTCAATAAATAAATAAATAAGAGACTTTGCCACCAATAGACACTAAAGAAAATTTCAAGGGCTTTACTTCATGTGGAAGCAAGGTGATCTCCCAGCTAAAAGGTCCAAGATGCAAGGTGTAGATGAGCAGTAAATATTGAGGGAATCTAAAGAAATGCAATGTCACTTGAAAAAATAGTAAAGAAAAAAAATCAGTATAATTTTCAAAAACAACTAATGCGATACTTCTAGCCTCACTGCTTTCCCAGAAGTGATGCCTGGCAGAAGTGAGTCTCGCTCACTCACATGTTTGATAGTTGGTGCTGCTGGCAGAAAGCCGAAATATCAGTTGGGGATGTAGGGAAGCCCAGGTCACATATAAGTGTGTGCTCTCAGTGTGACCTGGGCTTCCCTACAATATGGTGGCTGGGTTCTCAAGGGCAAGTCTCCTGAGAGAGAACCAGGAACAAGCTGTATTGCCTTTGATGACCTAGCCTCAGAAGTCAAGCTGCATCACTTCTTCCATGTTCTATTCATCAAGAGTCACATGAAGTCCTACTGAGTTTTGAGCATAAGAGAAATAGTCTTTATCTCTTGATGAGGAGGTGATAAAGTCTGGGAGAGCACTGGGGCTAGAAATTTAGCATTAGCTATTTTTAGAAATTATACTGATTCTTCTTTTTTTTTTTTTTTTTTTACTACTTTTGCAAGTAGCATTGCATTTCTTTAGATTCCCTCAATATTTACTGCTCTCTATGCCCTTCATGCTTCTTGTGTTAGCCTCAAGCATACAAGACAGACAGGAGCTCCCCACACACCCTTGTGACATAGTCACCCACCTGCCACAATACAACAACAGCTGTGTGACCTTGGGCAAGTCACACAATCTCTCTGTGCCTCAGTTTCCTCATCTGTAAAACAAGTACAAGGAGAGAGCTTGCATTACAGAATCAGTCTTAAATGAGCACGGGATGTTCAGATACCACATCCAGCTCCAGCAATGGGTTGGACCATCTCATGGCCTGGCATTGAGGAGCAGACCATTCCCTGCCCCAGCACTGCTTCTACGAAACATGGCTGCCCTCTGCCTCACTTCTCTGTCATGTGCAGCATCTTCTCTCCATAGGGCACACTCCCACCGCCCCAAGAGGAGTTGACTGGACAGAAGATGGCCCTTTCTGCTGGGCACAGCTTTACCCTGCCAAGCTTCTCACTGGCCTATGGATTGACAGCCCCTGGGACAGGGTTGGGAGAGGTCCAATCTGTTCTAGGAGCCAGTACTGTGCTGCTCCCACCCAGACATCAACATAGAAGTCTGGGTGGGAAGGGGGTAAAGGCAGGGGAGTCCTTCTGCCCCCCTCATCCTTTCCTGAAGGCAGAGAAGAGCATGTCTCCAGTCCACACCCCTGGTGACTGCTCAACACATGCCGTGTCTCTAAGGCCTTGTGGCATCTAGGGCACATGGCAATGCTTCCATTTGGGAACTTTCTGTGTCATCTTGAGCATGTCAGCTTACCTTGCTGAGCCTTGGTCTCCCTTATCTGTAAAATAAGCAACGACAACAACAAAACTCCTCTGCTAGGGCTGGTGTGATGATTCTGCATGCACGTCTACTCATCTCTTAATAAACACGGGTGTCCCTCCTTCTTAGCCACTGATGTGTGCCTGCATCTGTCCCCTTTCTATGGAAATGACTCACACCCATAAGCCATCAGAGAGTGAACAGACATTTCAGAAGGAGTTTCCACATCTTGGAAACAAATCTGTGCTGGTCCTCAGTTTTCCTGGTAACCCCAAGGCCAGTGTGGGGACCAGCTGGCTGAGGAGGGGACCGACTGGCTGAGGAGGGGCAATCCAAGCCATTGGGCCGCATTTAGGAGGTCTCAGGCTTCTCGGCTGCAGAAGAGGTTTTTGGGAGACAAGAGTGCGTATTTGACGGCTGTGTCCCCTGCTGACCACCAGGGGGCAACAGGGCCACACCGCGGCCTCCAGCTCATTCTGGCCTTCGTGGAGGTAGCTCCTTGGAAGAGCATCTGTTCCCTTGTCATTTCCTTCATAGCCCCAAAGACACGTTCCTATTTCTGCCTCACTCTCCATATGGTTTGCCCCCAAAACTGAATGTATTGAGTAACTAGCACACCGAGCGCACTGGGGGCTGGGGACCGGCACAATGCATGTCCCCGACCTAATTCCCCTTGGCGCTCCTAAGGAGCCTGTACGTGACCCTCTAGGCTTTCTGGACTGGACTGAAGACAGCTTATGAGCCCCACTCACACCCTTCACAGGTGCCTGTCAGGTCCGGAAGGCGGGAGGCAGTGGCCTTCCAGGAACCCACAGAAGGAGATGCCTGAAGACAGCTGAGGCCCACAGACCCGGACTTTGACACGACCACACCCTGCCCTGGGGAGGTGGAGACCTCTTTGCACTCTCTAGGGACCGTGCTGTCTCCAACCTGTGCCCCATGGCCCTGAACCCTCAAGAAGCCAAAACTGTCCTTGAAGTTCACGGCTGCCTCCCAAGCTCCTTTGCCCTCCCTGAGCCCTAATCATTGCATATCTGCTTCCGGTGGGGTTTTGACCTTCACTCCCCATGTCTTCCAAGCTCTTTGTTCCCAGTCTAGGCAAGGAAGGTGTCATTCCCCATTTATTAAACACCTCCCACACCCGGGTACAGCTGCATAGCGAGTCCACAGGGAAGAGGCCTCAGTTCCTGCTGTCAGGAAATTCAAGTCTGTAGGAACAGCAGAAAGCAGTGAGAACAGGCCCTGATGGTGACAGCAGCAATGCAGGAAGCCACCTCGGGCACAGGTGGGGGACTGCACTTGTGGGGATGCAGTGGAGAGCTGGGACTTCCCCTGGAACTGTGAACAGAACAGGAGTGAGCACAGGCTTCCTTGGTGCAGGCCGTGTCTGCTGCGTGTTCAGATCGCTGTGGAGCCCTTGATCCCGGTCACCAGTCCTGAATTCCCTGGTGGACACATTCCAGGCAGGGTTGTCTAGCATAAGTAAGGCTTTCACACCTACTCTGAAGGTCCTCTCCGACCCAGTTCTGCCCTCCTCCAAAGGTGGTTCTTTGATCTCATCAACCTCTGTTCCAGACAAGCACCCAAGTCCAGAGGCACTGCTGCCAGCCCAAAGCAAGTACTGGGCCCTACCCCAGCCCTCTGGTCCTCTCACCTGGGCCCCAATCCCTTGGGTTAAGGGTCTACCAAAGGCCAGCCATTCCTGGAGAGGAAATCGCTGGTCATCCAGCTGCAGTGGCCTGGATTTTGTCCCAGCCAGCTGGTTGTCAAGTGAATGTGCAGAGTGAGCTTTGCAGGGGTCAGAGATTGGGAAAAGAGTTGATGGGGAGGTTGGGCCTGCACTGCACAGGGAAGGGGGCCCGAGGGCCAGTGACAGAACCAGCATGGCCAGGAGTAATTCCATGCCTGAGAGAGGCCAAGCTGATGGTACCAGGAAGAAACTCTCCCACCCCGCCCACACCCCCGCCACTCACGGGGAATATCTCAGGGATCTAGAAGGGGAACACATGGGTGTTTTTTGGCTTTGGCCAGAGCTGAAAGGTCCTGACAAAGGGGCTGTGTACCAGGCGTGGGCCTGTCAAGAAGGCCCTGTGTGGCCCTGGAAGGGAGTCAGCCTCCTGCGCAGTGCCAGCGGTGGAGGCAGCCGTCTTTGAGCAGGGGTGGCAGCATTCAGTGGACCCCCATTGCCTCCCACGCACCCGCATCTGCTGCCCGGCCACAGAGGGCCATCAGTCTTAGCACTGGCCTCCCTGCCAGCCCTGTGCACCTCTTTGTTCTCTCTGTTCCTCAAAGACGAAACCCAGCTTCTCTCAAGCTCACCAGGCCCTGCTGTTCCTGCCTTTGCTCTTAATCTTCAACCTGTGCACAGATACCCGCCGGGTAAGCTCTCTTACCAGCTTTGAACATAATCAAACCTTTCAGGGATGAAGGATCTGTGTCTACCCCATCCCTCTGCCTGAGGGTAACAGCCCCCAGGAGCATCTCTCTCGCTCATGGCTTTGGGCACCATGAGGGAAAGGAGGAAGGTGTC